TGTGGATGCCCCATCCCTGGAAGCATTCAAGGCCAGGTTGGATGGGGCTTTGAGCAACCTGGTCTAGTGGAAGGTGCCCTGACCACAGGGGTGGTTGGTCCCTTCTCACCCAAACCTTCTATGCAAGGTCACCATACCAGGCCGAACTGAGCACCTACCTTGCCAAGACTCAGGCAAGCTAATTAAAACACACCAGTGCACACTGATGTGACTGCAACAGTCAAGACCAAGGCTGTGCCCCAGTGATGCCTCCACCTCCTCCAAATGCAGCCTTGAGATAAAGCTGCAAACTGCCCTGAATCACTGCCTGCTCTCCTTCCAGACATCACTCCAGTTCTACGAATTAGAAATATACTACTTGCCTCAGCAAGATGGAAGGAGCCTCCCAAAACCATGCCTCATTTGGAGTATCTGGCTGTAGAAATTCAGTTATTGTCAAATGAGGAGAAACAAGGCGAGACATCTCCAGAAGGGTTTCTATGGCAATCTCACCAGCAGCTCCCCCCATCTGGAGATGCCATGCAGGAAAGCTCTGTTCCTACTGATTTTGCAGCACTGTTAAGAGCCCCAGAATTACTGCTGCTACAGATCATACTGCTGCTGCTTTCATTTCAGAAAATTGTCATAATTTACCAAGCAAAGCACTTTCAAGTGCATCAAAACACTGGATATGCAGCTAAAAAAAAAAAAAAGAAAGAAACTAAGGTGAATTGATGCTAATCTGCAGACTACAAGACATAGCCCGTGGCTGAAACAAAGAGATGCTGAACAATACTGAATTTTGTATGTAGACTGATAAAAAGTACAGCAAAGTCTCTCTTTACCTCACTGGACAGAAAGGTTCAACTCTCCAGGTAGTGCACAACAATGGGACTTAAGAGACCCAACCTTGAGTCCTGTGATGTGGGAAATGGTTCCCTATTTAGTGTTTCCAAGGGTGGATTTATGAGAATAATTCTAAATTTCCTCAATACTGGGGTTGATACAGGGCACATGAGCAGATACAAGTTCTACAGCACAAACAGCGCTAGTTTTTAAAAAGTTACTTAATTGGACATGTGATAGTAATTCTATACTAATATACAGTAATTCTGTTTTTCAAAATCTAGGCTCTGTAAATCCACAACATCAAACAGATTCACTGATACACCATGATCAGAGGCAAAAACCACCAGCATCTTCCTCAGAGAGAGCACTTCTTACATGGTGTATGCTGAATGTCCCCAAAACAAGCAAAGGCAGTGAAGGGGAGTGAGGACAGTCTGACACCATGAAAATTTTCACCTTTCACACTGAAGCCACTCTGTATGTGCTGTATAGAGCACACCAAACAAAGGAAACTGCTGGTTTCTAGATATGTTGTTTGCCTACTTGCCAGCTTCTCTATCAAAGTGCATTTCCCTTTTACAGATCCACTGTCAAGCTGAAAGTGTACCAAACCCTACCTATTAAAGCATTCCTTCATAAAATCCTTGTTAATCC